ACTGTAATTTCGAAAAGATAAGGAAACCGCGGACAGGATGAAGGTGAGCAAATGTAAAGCTTACACCAAAGTCCAGCACAGGATAAGGTGGAATTGCTGAAAGCGTGGCTGATTTGCCGTTATTTGTTAACGAGTGAAGAGGTTTCAAGCCCACTTCGCCAACAATCGGAACAGAATTTGCCGATGAAGTTGATTCCGGGCGAGAGCTCAAACTAGCATTACCCAGAACCTTAAAACAAAATCTTAGCAAAACTATTGAAAGCCCATAAGGTATAGAAGCTCAAACTCACTTGGCTCAAGGCCTCCTTGTCATCGATGGTCATCCACTCCAGTTCATCAAATACCGTGCCACGACCCTCGAATTCCTCAAAACTGACGTCTTTCATGGCGGATGGTTGTGGTTTTGGTAAGGGGAGTGTAGCTGGGGGAGCTGCACATGGCTGCAGGACCTCCTGCAAGGACTCTTGCTAACATGAAAGGCAAAAGAGAGCCGTATAACTTAAGCAAAGATAAGATTGTATATCACGAAAAAGATTAATCAAACAATAAGGAATACCGCCCAACCCGGCAAAGTAAAAGACGAGACCTATAAAAAATCTTCTCGAACACTAAGGAAATAAAAAGAAATATAGAGTAGAGCAAAGAAGAGACTGGAATAATTTCTCGAAAAAGTAGCGAACTCACATTGATCAACGATGTTGAAGAAGGAGTTGGAGAATCTGTAGAAGCAACACCATTCACATGGTTTCGAGGTGGAGGCTCCGGCTTCACCTCTGGCGGAGCATTCGCTTCATCAAATTGCTGACGAGCTCTCTTCTCCGCGGTGAAAGCATACTAAAGCAAAAAAGGATCATTTCGAGAACTAGTGAAAAGAACAAGAATAAGAGGAAAGTGTCAATGGATTGCAAGATTTCAAATGTTAACAGGAAGGAGAAGTCTACTTAAAAGACAACTTTTCGGTTGGGCTTCATTGCTAACGAATACTCTAGAGGTTGATTATACATTTCAGAAGTTAA